CTTGACGTTTGCGAGGCACTACACATCAAGAAGTCAACACCAGCAATCAACAGCCAATTATTGCACAACTATATTCTACCCACTTCAAGACTCCGCTCCAATATAGAAGCATCAAGAAATATGGACCAATAGGCTTTCTACAAACACTTCTATTCAATACCCATTGTTTCGTGTTCTGTCTTGTGTTGATGAAATTAATACCCTATTAATGCCACCTCTTGTTCTGTCTTGTGTTGATGAAATTAATACCCTATTAATGCCACCTCTTGTTATGTCTTGTGTTGATTAATACCACATCACCCCTTCCACCTCACTCAAATGTAGATATAAAATTGGAGATGCGTAAGTTCTATTCAGTTGTGTATTTGTACACTAAAGTCTTTGAAAATGTAATTAGTTTTACGAAACGCGCTCGTGTCGCGTCAGACTAGAAATAAAAATGAATTTTGGAGAATTGATTTTTGATTTACCTCCAACAGTGAAAAGAAATGTACGAAAGATTGAGAAAATTCGTGTTAGAATTATTAATCTTACTTTTTCGGTCATATTTAATAATATATATATAATTATAAATATATATATATATATATGTCGTATATATATATATATATATATATATATATATATATATATATATATATATATATATATATATATATATATATATATATATATATATATATATATATATATATATATATGTTTCCCAGTCCAGCTTCCTAGGGATAATGCTGGCAATGAGAAAACTGTCATACATTTAGTACTACAATTGCTGGACTTACCTCGACCTGATCAGACTGCTGACTCATTACAATCCTTCAGCATGGAGTTTGAGTCACTACTAAGTACATTCAGTCTTAAGGTTGATATAACTACTAGTGAATGGATGACCAAAGTAGTCCTTCAACGAAAATTGTCCAGCGATATACTAGATGAATTATACACACAAGAACATAACACCATCCTGACATCACCATTCCTCATCTCTCAGTCTATTTACTCTGATCACTGTGAGGTATTCTTCATATCACAGTGTATAAACACTGAATGGTGTTCTTCATCTCAGTGTATATATACACAGAGAGAGGTATTGTTTATCTCTCAGTGTATATACACTCTCAGTGTATATACACTGAGACGTGTTCGTCATCTCGCAGTGTATATTCACTGAGCACTGAGAGTTTTTTTCTTTTCACATTGAATATTCACTGAGAGGTGTTCTTCACCACTCAGTGTATCTACACAGATAGGTGTTCGTCATCTTTCAGTGTACATATACAGAGAGGAGATGTTTATCTCTCAGTGTATATACACTGAGAGGTGTTTTTCATCTCGCAGTGTATATACACTGCGCACTGAGAGGTGTTCTTCAACTCACAGTTTATATACACTGAGTGGTGTTCTTCATCTGAGTGGATATACACTGAGAGGAGTTCTTCATCCTTCAGTGTATATACACAGAGAGGTGTTTTTCATCTCAAAGTGTGTATACACATTGTGGTGTTCTTCATTTCAGTGTATATACACTGAGAGGTGTTCGCCATCTTTGAATGTACATACCAAGAGAAGTGCTCTTCACTACTCAGTTTATATACAAAGAGAGGTGTACTTCATCTCATAGTGTATATATACACATTGTGGTTTTCTTTGTCTCAGTGTATATATACTGAGTGAGGTTCTTTATATCTCGGTGTATATACAACGTGAAATGTTCTTCATTTCTCAGTGGATATAAACCGAGTGGTGTTCTTCATCTCTCTCACACTGTGATATGTTCTTCATCTCTCAGTGGATATAAACCGAGTGGTGTTCTTCATCTCTCTCACACTGTGATATGTTCTTCATCTCTCAGGGGATATAAACCGAGTGGTGTTCTTCATCTCTCAGTGTATATACACTGTGATATGTTCTTCATCTCTCAGTGCATATTCACTGAGATGTGTTGTTCATATCTCAGTATATTTGCACTGAGATATGTTCTTCGTCTGTCTGTGTATATACACAGGTGATCTTTATCTCATGGAGTATTACACATAGAGGTGTTCTTCATATCTCAGTGTATATATACTGAGAGGTGTTCTTAATCTCTCTGTTTATACACATATACTGAGAGGTGCACTTCATCTCTCAGGGTAGTTACACTGAAAAGGGTTCTTTATCTCTCAGTGTATATACACCTAGTGGTGTCCTTCGTCTCATAGTGTATATTCACGGAGTGGTGTTCTTCATATCTTTGTGTATATACACTGAGTCATCAAGAAGCATTCGTTTGGTGCACTATTTCAGGCATTGTGTCTTGTGGTGTTCGTGTACGGCAATGTTACTTTGGTAACTTTACTTTTATTTGTATATATATGTTGTTTAATATAATAAAGAAAACAAAAGTTCCTGATCCACCAAAAGACTAGTTATTGTTTTAGCAAGAGGCTAGTTGTTGATAAAGCAAAGGGCAGGTTATTGATCCAAAAAATTGGTTCGCTATTTGTCCAGGAAAAGGCTATGGATTGATCCAGCAAGGGACAAATTATTGTGTCGCAATGGAAAAGTTATTGACATATTAAAGGACTAGTTATTTTTTCATCGAGGGGCTACTTATTAATCCATAAAAAAACTATTTATTATTTTAGCAAAGGACTTGTTTTTGATCCAGAAACTTACTTGTTATTGTTACATCTAAGGGCTTGTTATTGAGCCAGAAAAGAATTAGTTATTGTTCCAACTAAGGACTAGTTACTGATCTAGAAGAAATTGGTTATTGTAGTAAAAATCTCCTGTGTATCTGGGTAAAGTTCATGTGCCTTGCAGACGTAATTAATAATAAAGCCGCCCTTGCCAATAGCAATTGTTTAGGGATGAAAGAAACTACTGCTTCACAAACACATCAATATACTTCATGAAGGGGTAACAAAACACAGAAATATAAAATAAACACAGGTAGCCAAGAATCACCAGAAATATATAAAGACAATCAATGGGGTGAAATAACAACTAACAAGCACTGATCACGGGATTAAATCCAACATGAATAAATGTTAATGCAAATAATGGTCTAACCAGAAAATTAGCTATGTTAACTGAACTAAACAGGCAAAATTTGACTGTATCTCCTGGTTACATGTCCGACCTAGTGAGCCCTACCCACGCGACAGGCTTGCCCAGACGCCGTCCAGGTGGCGTCTACACATTACCATCCAAGACCCACAAGAATACTCTCAGATACTCTACTAGCCGAGAGCAATACTTATAAACATAATTATTAATAAAAGAATATACATTTAACTCTAATAAGGTGTAATTAAAAAATGTACATTCAATTGAAATTGAAATTGAAATTGAAATTGAAATAAGTTTATTGAGGTAAAATACACACAAAGGGATGAGGTAGCTCAAGCTATTCTCACCCCATTCAGTAATACATTCAATAATAAGTAATAATTACAGGGGTTTAATATGACGTAAAGTTGATAGAATTGCGCGCAGCAGTGGAGACTCCATATATGGGCATTCCCCTCACGACCTCACTAAACGCCACTGTCCCCAAATTACATTAATAAACCCCACAATCTCATTAATGATATATACAATACAAGCACACTAGAGCATGCTACATTTAACAAAACAAAATACTCGAGAAAGCAATAAGCCAAGAACGTCAATCTCCAAATAACTGAGGAATGAACTTAGGAAAATTAATGCTTTATTATGATAAATGTCAGAATCAAGTATTATTGATTCGTAACAACTATTCCAACAATGGGGTAATTATTGATCCAGAAAAGGATTAAACATTTTTGCAGCAAAGGCTAGTTATTGATCAAGCATAGTTAGTTATTGATCCAAAAAAAGGCTACTTATTGACCAAGGGGGAACTATTTTATTCGTCCAGAAAAGGACCAGTTACTGATCCAACAAAATGCAATTCAATAACCAAGCAAACGGCTATTAATTATTAAAGCAAAGGGCTAGGGAGCTAGCAACAATGGGAGCCGGTCGGCCGAGCGGACAGTACGCTGGACTTGTGACCCTGTGGTCCTGGGTTCGATCCCAGGCGCCTTCGAGAAACAATGGGCAGAGTTTCTTTCACCCTATGCCCCTGTTACCTAGCAGTAAAATCGGTACCTGGGTGTTAGTCAGCTGTCACAGGCTGCTTCCTGTGGGTGGAGGCCTGGTCGAGGCCCGGGCCGCGGGGACACTAAAAAGCCCCGAAATCATCTCAAGATAACCTCAAGAAGATAGGCATTAATCAAGAAAGGGGCTAGTTAATGATTATGGAAAGTGCCAGTTATTGATATTTTGTTTTGTGTAGGGATTGTTGCCTGTTTGATCCCTTCGTACATGCCTCTTATGTTGCCGACAGTGGCCGCAGTCTGGATGCTGGAACAGAGTCGGACCGAGTAATCGTTAACACAGTGCCTCGCCGTTTGTTGAACTCTACTGCAGGCAGTATGGAGGGCCTGTAGGTTTCTTTCTTGGGGCAGGTTCTTGTAGGATGATAGAGCTCGTCTCATTTCCTCTACGAGGGGTAACAGTTCCTCTGCACTGGCCTCGAACCAATCTGCTGACTTGTTCTGCCTCTTACCGAAGGTGGACATGGCAGTGTTGAAAATAGTGCCCCTGAGATATGACCACCTCTCACTTGCGCTATCGCAGGGTGGTACAGGAAGGGTATTTACCAGCGCAGCAGTGAATTCCTCCACCTAGTGAAGATCACGGGCTAGGTACAGGGTCTGTATACGGGTAATTCTTGATACAACAAAGATTCAGTGGTAAAGTCAGTAGGAGCCATGAGGAGGATTCGAACCTATGCTTTGAGTACTCCCAATCCCACGCCCTTGACCGCTACACCTCGACATGGTAAAAGCATTGCATCCAGGGGCCAGATCCACGAAAGCACTTACGAACCTGTACAGCTTTTCTCAATCTTTGGCGGCTTTGTTTACAATTATTAAACAGTTAATGAGCTCCGAAGCACCAGGAGGCTGTTTATAACAATAACAACAGTTGAAAGGCAACTTTTCATGCTTGTAAACTGTTTAATAAATGTAAACAAAGCCGTCAAAGATTGAGGAAAGATGTACACGTTCGTAAGTGCTTGCGTAAGTGCTTTCGTGAATCTGGCTCCTGGGATTCAATTGTATCTTATAAAGTTCATGAGGCTTGCCTTGAAGCCAGTCCAGGGTTTCACACATTGCCAACAGGCCCTATGGCTTGTAGTCTAAGAGTTCTACCTCCTACGTATCTCTTCTCATACATAAATAAATCACATTAAACTGCTGTATGCACGAGGACATCAGTAGGAGCCATGAGGAGGATGCAAAACTATGCTCTCAGTAATCCCAAGTAAACGCTCTAGACCACTTCACCACATTCATGGTGTAGTGGTCTAGAGCATTTGCTTGGGAGAACCCTTAGCATAGGTTCGAATCACCCCCCATGACTCCTACGGATGTTCTCATTGATACATCACATTAATGTGATTTCTTTGTGCAAAAGATTCATTAGTAGTTAAACAAAGTAGTCAGATATTGATCCAGTAGAAAATCAGTCATTGACCCTGCATGGCCAGTATTGACCCAGCAGGGCTTGTACTGAAACATCGAAACTTAATCATAGTCTTGATAGTATGGGAAGTCGGATCCCTCAAGGAACTGCAGTGTCCACGTCTTGAAGGCCTTCAGCTGCTCCTTGTTCAAGTGGTTCCTCCAGTCTCCTACCTGTTGGATTTATTTATGTAAAATAAAGAACAATAAATACAATATTATTTTGGAAGTGAACATAAGGAAAAATTTCAACAGAAAATAACTTTCCATTCTCCGGTTCATATACGTGGTGACACGAACGAATGAGATTTTCACTCACGAAATCACAAATGACCACAAGCACAGTATAAAAGAATAAAATAAAAATCACGATATAAACTTAATTTTGCTCACAGAAAACGTTCCATAAATTAAAAATTTATATAAGAACCTGGTTAACAAGGGCATTAGAGCAGAATATTCCTTTACTGTTCCTTATATTTGTAGTATATACATTGACCACTGAACACTTATTTATAAAATAATTATTGACTCTACGAAAAATACTTTCTCTGCGCACAAGGAACTATGATTAATTATCACGATAACGTGCTTAGCAAATACACCTCAGCAGCATTTTTTTGTTTTTGGAAAAAATCCCACTAAGGTGTATACTACATAAGGGTGGAATTTAACTTAGTCCCAATGTTCCCACTAAGGTGCACACTTAAGGTGATATCATGGCTGAAGTGAGTTCATTTTCAGGAGATATATTAATTAGAAGTGCGTTATGTAATTATTAATTTTAGGTGTTAGGTCTTGGACCCGCCTCTAGGAGTTTATAGCTGTATTTCGTTACTTTTAAACAAAATTCATGAGATATAAAACAGACGTTTTCAGACGTAGAAACCAGATAAAGCAAGTGTCATATTGCGGCTCTTTTTCCTCAGCATCAGTTCTTTCTTGTATTTTCGTTAATATAACATAGTTTAAACCATATTTAAAACAGACGTATTTCAGATGTAGTGAAACGGACCAAGGAAGTTCTTTAGTTCTAGCTCAATTCCCCGCCTTAGTTAGAACTTTTAACTTCGTTACTTTCCAACCAGTCTTCCTACAAAGAACGTTGCTTCTCATTCGTATGCGTTACCTAAGGCCAAAATCTGTCGTACTGGAAAAGAGAGGATTCTCGCAAAAGTGACGTACTGTCCCGTTTCTGCTTTCGGTCTTCTGGTAGGTTAGAAGAGGACACTTTAAATTGATAGTTTTTTGATGGCTCTTCCACATCACTTCCCTTCACATCCTTCCTGCTCTCCCATATCCCTCCCAGTCACACCATCCCTGCTCTCGCACATCCCTCCCCTTCACACCTCTCCTTGCTCTCTCCCATCCCTCCCCTTCAAACCCTCCCTGCTCAACCCCATCCCTCCCCCTTCACACCCTCCCCGCTCTCTCCCATCCCTCCCCTTCACACCCTCCCTGCTCTACCCCATCCCTCCCCCTTCACACCCTCCCTGCTCTACCCCATCCCTCCCCCTTCACACCCTCCCTGCTCTTCCCCATCCCTCCCCTTCACACCCTCCCTGCTCCACCCCATCCCTTCTCCTTCACACCCTCCCTGCTCTCCATCCCTCCCCGCCACACCCTCCCTGCTCTACCCCATCCCTTCCCCTACACACCCTCCCTGCTCTCCACCATCCCTCTCCTTCACACCCTCCCTGCTCTACCCCATCCCTCCCCCTTCACACCCTCCCTGCTCTACCCCATCCCTCCCCCTTCACACCCTCCCTGCTCCACCCCATCCCTTCTCCTTCACACCCTCCCTGCTCTCCATCCCTCCCCGCCACACCCTCCCTGCTCTACCCAATCCCTCCCCCTTTACACCCTCCCCGCTCTCCCCCATCCCTCCCCGCCACACCCTCCCTGCTCTCCCACACCCCTCCGTCGTTTATCCACTAGGTGTCGGTCGCTGTTATCATTTTCGTCTCATGGAATAGTTTATCATGTGCAAAAAGTTATTACTTTGCTTCTTATCAATAATCTTCATATCCATCTTACATGTAGTTTTACTCTGTATCTTTGTCAACACTTAAGCATATAGGTACCAATATTATCAGTAAACACCTTGTTACACGTTCTCTATGTTTCCTATATTCAGTCATAGTTTAAAACGTAAATAATTCGTCGAACCACCAACAGCTCGGCAGGCCAACAACAGACTCTACCGTAAACTCATTTACTTTGATGTAAACATATTGTTTGTTGTAAACAGACCTCCACGGTCGTAACTGAGACACTGCTGTTTGAATATTGTGTTGCGTGCTTGCATTCATAATGCATGCACATTAAATAAAAATTTTGAGATTTTAATACTGATCATATGTTTTCTTTTTCATATACATTACATTTTAAATACAAAGGTGAACTGAAGCATAGGACAACTGAACTGAGACTCGGTAACTAGATCACATTTATTTAATGCATCTAAAATAACTATATATTTAAACGTCAAGAAAATCGAGTTAATTATAAAGTAAATACATTATAAAACTGAGTCGGAGGACAAGCGACGGAACTTGACTTTTTCCCATTTATTACGTCTGAAATAAGTCTGTTTTAAATCTTATGAAAACTGAGTTAATAGTAACGAATAATGCGCCTATAAGTCTTGAGAGGCGGGTCCAAGAACTAAAACCTGTCAATATTAATTACATAACACACTCCTTATTAATATATCTCCTGCAAATGAATTCACTACGACCACGATTTCACCCTAAAACGATGTGCACCTTAGTGGTAACTTTGGGACTAAGCTGTATTCCACCCGCATATTTTGTGCACCTTAGCGGCTACTTTTCCCAAAACAAAAAGTTGCTGCTATGGTATAACCTCGTCTACTATTACCAAGTCATTAAAAATTAATTATATATTTTCAAGATAGTAATATGGAATCAGATTAATATATGTTTGTATAAAAAGAATACCATTTACACAGCAGTGTAAATGGTGGAAACTGTTGTAAAGGAATGCTTCTAGTACATCGCATCCTTCTATCCTCAAAATGATAACAGTCACAAGAAAATAAGATACACCGTAAGTGGAAGAATAAAGCCAGAAAAATATGCGACAAGTTTCTTTTCCATTTAGGATAACCGACATGTTTGTTTGTGGCTAAAAGATAGCTGTTTGACAGAATTGGGCACATTGAGTTTACCACAGTATAAACTATCGTTTGTTTTAATATTAACATCTGCTTAAGTCCATAAAAATTGCATTTAAATCATCTGTCAAGTTACTAATTTCTAATTATAGTTATGACCCACGGAAAATCCAACATCAGTTTTGGATCTCAAGCAGACAGAATAAACTGACAGGTTAAGACGAAAGCTAATGAAATTGGAACGAGTATATTATTGGGATAATCTTCTCGCTATGTTACCAAATATTGCAGGAGAATTGAAATAATACAGGAGAAGGTCTGATGGATATAAAAATACACTTCAGGCTAGGAGACAACTATCTGCACTCCAGGAGGTACGGGACAACTATTAGCACTCCAGGAGGTACGGGACAACTATTAGCACTCCAGGAGGTACGGGACAACTATTAGCCCTCTAGGAGGTACGGGACAACTATTAACACTCCAGGAGGTACGGGACAACTATTAACACTCCAGGAGGTACGAGACAACTATTAACACTCCAGGAAGTACGAGACAACTATTAGTACTCCAGCATGTATGGGACAAGTATTAGCACTCCAGGAGGTACGGGACAACTATTAGCACTCCAGGAAGTACGGGACAACTATTAGCACTCCAGGATGTATGGGACAAGTATTAGCACTCCAGGAGGTACGGGACAACTATTAACACTCTAGGATGTACGGGACAACTATTAGCACTCCAGGAAGTAGTAGGAGTAGTAGGCATCCATCAGTCTCAGGAGACTATGGAGTTGCGCTCTGGTGTCGGCCTGGTCTGGAGTGGCCTCACCAGGGCGCAAAGCCAGGGCAGGTTAATTCAGGAGAGAAGCAATAAGGGACAACTATTAGCACTCCAGGAAGTACAGGACAACTATTAGCACTCCAGGATGTACGAAACAACTATTGGCACTCCTCTCAGTGTCAAGATCGGAAGTAGTGTGTCAAGATCAGCTAGGTCAGTGTCAAGATCAGCTAACTCAGTGTTAATATCAGCTAGCTCAGTGTCAAGATCAACAAAATGAAAAGGCTTTGGAACATGCTCTTGCTCAACACCGACAACATGTTATCATACATACAGATTCGAGAACCGCCATTGAAACCTTGCAACAAGAACACATGTGTGATAACATACATCTGACCCACACATGTCATATCATTAATGCAAACACTATCAGTAATATATATATATGTCATATCATTAATGCAAAAGCGACAAGGCCAACGGGTACTTATCAACTGGGTGCCAAGTCATGTGGGAATAATAGGAAATGACATTGCAGACGAAGCTGCAAAAATTTGCAACTAAGAGAAGAAATGTAGACATTTACATACCACAGAGTCTATCACAGATTAAGAAAGTAATTAGAAACAGAGCAATGCAAAAGATGTACAGTGACCACAACACAGCAGTTGCAACATCAGGATCTCCGGGTTGGTACAAGAATTCAACCAACTATGAACCACTTAGTTTGATGAAAGGGAGCAGTAGAGCAACAGAAGTGCACTTACATCGCATCAGGCTTGGATACCCATGTGCATGGGAAATAGGCTTACAGGTTCCGGAAGATGAGAGGAAATGTCAACACTGAGGAGAAATGCCCGACAGACCACTGGAACATTATCTAACACAGTGCACAGTTACAAACTCATTAATATTTCAACTTAGATTCAACAGAGCAGAAGCAGTTGTTAAACACATATGGCAAAATCTTACTGAAGCGACCATACGAGTAATAAATACTCATACTCCGCCCAAGTAAAACAGAAACAAGCAACACTTAGTGGGCCAGCCAGAGGTTTAGAGCCCGTGCAGGAATATCCCTGAAAAAAGAGCAAAATCATAGTCATGATCAGCTAGCACAGTGAGTTAGCTGATGCTGTGACTGAGCTAGCTGATTTTAACTCTGTGCCAGCCGATCTTGACACTCAGTACGCTGAACATGACACTCAGTTCAGTTAACTGCCCAGTGTCAAGACCAGCTAGCCCAGTG